ATAATAATATCAAATAAATAATTCTTTAAAAAAAAGTTACAGGTTGACATGCCATGGCCATTTAAAAGGCACTATTTTAGAAACAAACATACTGCCGGTCATACTTGCATAGCATCTGAGTAGCCATAAAGGCATGTTAAATGTGGGAAAAAATAGCATTGCCTCACTAAAAAGTGCCATGTCTTTAAATATTAAAAATATCTCACATAACAACTGACACTGAAAGTACAGTTGCCTGAGACTCAAATGACTTTTCGTCTTTTTAAAGGAAATATTTTCATTAGCTCAAGAATCTATTTCAGTAACCTTCAAGTATTTCCTAATACGTAACCTGTCTTCTTATGATTTAATTTCACTTTAGAGCTACCAGAAAAAAAATGACCCATAAACTGAAGATAAAGGCTATGATGTCTGCATAGCAATGGAGACATTAATAGAAAGGAATTTGTAGAGAAAAGATTTAGAGCCTAGATATCTACCATATTATAATGTCATGTTTCAAAAAGAGGTTTTTTTAAAAGAAATGTTTTTAAAGCTTAGCTTTAAATATGAACTTCTAGTGTGTTTAGACATCTACTTGTGGATCTAGAGCAATACCAAGGGTATCAAACATTCTCATGAGGTGTTGAAACAGTAATAACTACAACAAAACCCACCTCTGTGGCCACCATGTTCTTTTCTCTCATGGTTGAACAAAATTAAGAAATTTTAAAATTATTTTAGAAATTAAATTCATGCTGATGAAAAAGGATTTGAATCAGCAAAATGCCATTTGAATTTAAAGTAACCATTCTCTGCCCCATTACTACTTGCTTGAACAGGGCTAATGACATTGTTTATTTATTTCGATTTATCTATTCATTATCCATTGTATGAGCACAGGAGGGTGGGAAGGGAATGGAGTGCTTTCAAACAGAGTCCCATCACTCTGTGATCCCTTTCCCCCAGCGTCCAGTTTGACAGGATCCTGTGGTGTGTCTGTCCAGTACATTTCAGGTCAACTAGGCTGGGGACCTGAACCACCCTCGGTCAGCCATGTGACCCTCCAGCACTGCCTCAGCAGCATGCTACTGCCGGTGCACCAAGACTGGACTTAGATTTTTGGTGTGTTCTTGACTTAAGTCACATAGTCCATTCTGAGAGGTACCACTCCCACTGAGGTAAGTTTCCTTTAACTACTACTCATGGGAGATACTAAATTACTTTTATAGTCTTGCCACAGCAGTGTACAGTGCTAAGATGTTGTGCTCCGCAGACTGGCACCATGTGAGAGACCTAAGTTCGATTCCAACTCCAACTTGAAAGCTGGCAGGATGGCATGTGCCTGGAATCATAGCACCTTGGGAGGCTGAGGCCGAAGGACTGTGAGCTTGAGGCTGCCTTGGGTAACGAAGCAAGATCCTTTAGGAAAAAAAAAAAAAAAAGCCTGGTGTGGTGGCACTTGCCTCCCGTCCCAACTAGGGGTTTGAGGCAGGAGAATTAAAACACAGACCCTGTCTTAAAAAAAAATAATAATTTTATTGGAATGACGTTTGTGGGGAAAAAGATACTGAAAGCATTTCCAATAAATAAATGGACACACAGATTTAATGCGAATGAATTACCGACATTTAACTAAAGTGTTATTTAATATTTAAGGTTAATAGTTTGTGCTGCATTTATTTCAATAAAATTATATGCAAATAATGCTTTGCACCCATCAAATGTAACATTTGTTGAATGTATATATTTCAGTGCCTACTATCTATCAGGCACTATGACATATACCTACTACTAAAATGTAACTTTCTCAAGTTTCAGTCTTTCTTTAGCTCTACATTCTCGAACTTTATTAGTTCATTTGCCTGTGCTAGCAGCAGGTACTCAGTGAATATGTTGAATAAAGTCAGACACGAGGACAATTTTTATATTGAGGCTTATAATATAAAACAATTTAGGGTGACTTAAGTACGAGAAACAAGAGTATATGAGGATTTTTTCTTAGGGAAATAATATTTCAGTCATACAATTATATAATTTAGAAGAGGGAACATAAAGTACAGTTCTTAATACACATAAAACATCTTATTTTCCTGTTATGGTGAGAACAGGGAGAGATCTTACAAAGTAGGAAAGAAGAGGTGGGAAGTAACGAGAAGGGAAGAGATGGAAATAAGGAAGCATGGGAAGAGGAAATGCAGTCATGGGTACAGGGACATGCAACCACATAACTAGAAAATGGCAGCGCTCCATGGTGATATCCACGTCAGAGCGAACATGTCAGTCAGCTTTTAGTCCACAGTCCAAGTGGCCTCCAACCCTGGAGGAGAGGCAGAACTGTAGAACACTGTGCTTTTGAAATTGAGATGTGCACGAAATGGCAGGAGAATCCTAGGAAGTAAATCATGATTTGAATGACGCAGGGAAGACTTTATAGAAATGATATTTGGCTGAGTCTTGAAGGGTGATGTGTGGAATTGGTGTCATAGTGGGGAATAATCTGACAGAAAACTGATGGTCAAAAGATTTGCATAGCTGGGATGTGAGATGACTGCATGACAGTGGATAAAGAAAAGGAAGTTATGTGAATTGATGCTTGAACACTATTTCAGTGTACTTACTGCATGCCTGCATTAATGAGAAGAGTAGACCAAATATCTCTGAGGATGGAGCCCAGATATGATACATATATTTCTTACAGCCACTTAGAAACTTAAATATGCAGCTATGATTAAGAATCACTACAACAGGTGTTGGAAGTCAATGAATACTTTACAGTGAGAAAAATGGTATAAATTGGATTTTTACTAGGAAAATAACTTGGCCCAGAGAGTGGAGGGTGTGTTTGTGTGCAAAAAGACTTTGCAGAAGTATCAGTCAAGAGCCTAGTTAACACACATGCATTCACAGAAAAATACATGTATATAGACACACTAAGCATAAGAGCATTTTCATACTAATGCTGAGACTATTTGAAATATTTGTGTTAAACTCTTATTAAATGTTCTACTTGTCATATAGCTATAATGAAACCAAGCCAAGGACCCTCGTTGGAGCTTGTTTTAATCCTATTTTAAATGCCCTATGAGAATTCACTACAGATACAACATGGCTAACTCTTTTTGTAAATTGAAGAATTTATTGGTAGAAAACAGTTATGGTAACATTATTACAGTAATTTTTCCATCAGATGAAACAACTTTATCTCATTTTGAGAATCACATTAGTGTTCATTAAGAATATTCTCTATTACTTTCTTTTGGGAAGCAGCTAGTATTTATCAGTTGAAAGGAATGTGTAGTTAAAATTGCATTAAGAAATCGAACTACAGTAAGTTTTTTCTATTTTTTTTTCAAAGTTACTTTGACGTTCTCAGTAACAACTATTAATCTACACAAGAAGATACATTTTATTTATAAAATAAAAAGATATCCAAGCTTAAAGAAATTTAGAAAAAGGATATTCAGTTTACTACTTTCTCAGAGTTGTTCAATATAAGTGGTGTGTGTGTGTGTTTATGTGTTTGTGTCTTTACACACATATAAATGAGCAGGTTCTTCAAAAAGTTCATGGAAAATGCATATTCTGATAAAACTATGCATGAATTTCAAAACCTTTTTTATACCAAAATAAATTTATTATTCAGTTTTCATAAACTTTTTGAAGTCTCTCTCTCTCTCTCTCCATATATATATATAAATATATATGCCAAAAATTTGTATAAACATTTTATCTAGAAAGAAAGCAATAATTGATTTTGATTGTACATCACTAGAATATATGTATATTCATATATATTTCTCTTTTCAAAAAAGGGATCTCTAGGGACACCTCAGAACAAAACTTGTCTGTTTCTAAAGGAATATTTTTAGTTTATTTATCAATATGAATTGTGAATATTCTCGGTATTGTTTTTATTGTATTAGGCCAGTTTCTACAATTTTTGAAGCATTTTCCTTAGAATTTGATCAAGGCACTCAAAAATTTTCAACCTGAGATTCATCTGAAAAAGAACACCATTCTCAATTTTTTGAAGAGTAAAGAGAATGATAATTCTTTCTTCCTCTTCCTTCTTCCCTTCCTGTCTCCCACCCTCCCTCCCTTCTTTAATTTAAAGCGATGTTAATAAAAAATTCTGATCAAAAGGAGTATTTGGCATGAAATATATTGGGTTGTTGGAAAAGTCATTATGTATTTTTCTGTTTTTCTATACAAAAATGCCTCATGACTTTCCCAATGACTCAATATTATTATACTATTTTGGTAAGGAGTGCAGTGAGCCCGCATAGACTTCAGATTCCTAGTTTTATTTACAGTACCTTAGTAGAGGACAATTTCCCCCAGAAAAAATCAGTTAAAAAAACCTACAAACCCCACAATACTGTTGTCATAATGATATGGCTCTGCTTAGTAACTTCTTTGGAGAGTTGTGTTTCCTTAGGGGAATGGTCTTAATATATGACTGATTGGCCTATTTGCGAAACATCAATCTATTTTACTGTTTTTTTAAAAGTTATTTCTCCTATTTTTCGCATTTGAAAACCTGATGAAGATTATGAATTTTCTTGTCACAAAGTAGATATACACTCATGGAGGCAGAATTTTGCATACAATTTTAAAGGTTCCATTTTGGAAATATGGCCAACAGAGATAAAGGGAGCTATCTGTATGTAATATATATATATAATAGCTTTTTATTATAAGGGTTTTTTTTTTTTCTGAAGTAAAGATTTACTAGGTTTAAAAGTTAATACAGGTAAGATACAGTTTACTTACGGCTGGCCTCAGGGTCCTAGTGGTTAAGAAACCCAGATTCCCCATGACTGACTATGGTTCAAATCCTGGCCCTGATGACTTGAGAAAACATTCCAGGCGAGTGTGTGTGTGTGTGTGTGTGTGTGTGTGTGTGAAAAATGTCAGAGAAGGGATTTTAGCATGACCATGCCCCATTGGGGGAGGTGCTTTCTCCCTCCCATTCTCTTCATCTCTCTGGTGACTGTACATGCCCTCTGACAATTAAACAAAAACAGATACAGTTTACTTCAACAATTAATTATAGTACTTTTTCAATCTTGTAAACTCTTAAAATCTGAGTACACAGAAACACTTTAAAAATTCTATTTATGCTTGATAAAGGAAAATAATTAGAACTTCACTTTTTTCCTTAAATTTACACAGCATGATGTGTTATAAATGTAAGGCTTTCAGAAGAACATTATAAAAGCTCCAGACCTCGTTGTCCTGACCCAAACAAAAAGACATACCACAAAATTTACTTTTTTCAAGAAAAAATGACATTCACTTTTTATGAAAGAGAAGTGGTTTCACCATCCCTGCCAAGATCTTGGGTAACTGTGCAGCTATAACTTCTGACATCATTTCAGGAAATTCAACACTCAGTGCTCGGGACTGGATAAATGTGTTCAGGCAGTACAGATGAAGCTGTTTGACAAGCTGTTGGTTTAACAAATGGGTAGGAAACACATAAGAAAAACGATATATTTATATGCTACTCAAACATGGTAACTCATTTTTCTAAAATATAAATATTTCTCAAAATGTTTTCTTACAAAAATGAAAATGACTCCAGCCACTTTTAGAAAAAATATGCAAAATATTACATACTCATGATGAAGCATTCTGATAATATGGGAAGAATTTTTAAAGAAAATTATTCACAGTCTCACAGGATAATAAATGTGAACACACAATATCACATGCACATATACAGTTCCAAAATGAACTTTTAAAAAAATTTGCTAAGGAGTGTCTGCATTCTCCAGAGAGTGACAGATAAAGAGAGGGAGAGAGGAAAAAGTAAGAAAGCACCCCCCTGTGGGGGATGGTGGGGGGTGGTCACACCACGACCCCTTCCCTTACATTTCTCTTTTCAAGATTTTGGGCACACCTAGCACGTTTTTCAGGCTACCACAGCCAGGACTTGAACTGCACAGCTGACCATGGGATCTAGCTATCTTAACCACCATGCCACTGGTTGGCCCTCCAAAATGCAAATATTCTATCGATTTTATTTTCTAATCTGGCTTTTTCACATAACAATATATTGATTCTTCCCATATCAATAACCCAACACGATTTACTTTTTTTTCCTTATATGAAATTTAACTTTATTTATTTATTTTATTTTTACCAGAGAGGGACAGATAGAGAGAGAGAGGGAATGTGAGAAATTAAGCCACAAGGTCGAGGGCTTGAACCGTGGTCAGCCATGGGGGAATCTAGCATCCTTAATCTACCTGCCAGCCCCAACAACACTATTTCAATCTCACTTCTATTTTTACCAAAGTAATTCATGTACATATATTTTTGTTTTTGTTTCTGTTTTAGGTTTTTGCCAGAGGCCACATGTACTCTCCAGAGAGAGCCAGAGAGAGAAAGTGAGAAATCACCCCCAAAGGGGGATGACCATGCTACAGTCCCTTCTTCTCCATTCTCCTCTTGGGATTTTGGGCACACATGCACATATGCCTGGCATTTTCAAGCTGCTGATCTGGGACTCAAACTGTAGTCAGCTATGTGGGAGTCCAGCACCATAACCACTATGCCACCTGCTGGCCCCTCATGTATATGATTTTGAAAGTCTTCTAGTACTGCAAGATTTATAACAACAAAAAATACACAGCAGCACCAATAAAACCCTGCAGTTTCTTGATATATTTCTTCCTATCTTTTTTTTAGCTCCCCAGATAAAACTACTTTCAATGTTTTTAGCTTATGTCCTTTGATACTATCTTCACATTTCTAATGAAGCTATCTTCCAATTCTGATATTGTTGATTGAACGGAAAATGCGGGTTGATAGCTCTTATTCTGCACACCTGCTCCTGCCCTATACGCACTTCCTCTTTTCCCCATTCTTTATGTATTTATATTTCAATTTTTGGCTAAATTAATATCCAACATTCATATTATACAAACTGTTTTATATTATACAGCAGTTTTCTACTGCTGGGTTAAATTTCTTGTCTTTCTTGTTGGTTTGTTTGTTTCTTTTTTGACAAGGTCTTGCTGTGCTACTGTCCTTCTGCCTTCATCCCTGCTGGGACGACAGATACATGCCACCATGCCTGGCCCTTTTTTAGACAGTCTCGCTTTATTGACCAGGTCAACCTTGGGCACACAATCCTTCTGTCTCGCGCTCCTGAGATTTTGGGATTGCAGGCATATGCCCCCACGCTCAGCCTTTAAGTTGGAGCAGGAATCAAACCCAGGCCTCCTATGTGGTCCTGGCCTAAGGAACATAGCTTCTTAGTGTGCACCATTGCAGGTGGTCCACATTTTCTTTCTCACATGACTTTTTACTTTTTTTTTTTTTTTTGAGAGGTTTTAGCTATAGGGCGCGTGTGCTCGCCAGACAAACAGAGAGACAGAGAGATAGAAAGCGAGAAATCAACCCCCTGGGGGGATGGTCATGCCGCAATCCCTTCTCCTCCATTCTCCTCTTGGGAGCTTGGACATGCACTGACACGTGCCCGGCATGAGTTTTAAGCTACCAGGTCTGGGACACGAACCACGGTCAACTACATGGGAGTCCAGCAACATAGCCAGTATGCTAACTGCTGGTCCCCCGACTTTTTACTATTTTCAAGACCTAATTACCTTGTGATCTTGTTCGCTTTGTTTAGATTTGTCCCACAGCCATAGTCAAATGCTTAGACAGGTTATTGTGCTGGGACATCCCTTTCATCTCTCTTAAGTTGGATCCTCTACTTCTTTGGCTTGTTCTAGTGTTTTGTTGTAGGACATCCTAGAGTAATTCATGAGAAAAATTGTATTTGAGGCGAACTCTAGGAAACCTTGCATATCTGGAAATGCTTTTATGGTGCCGTTGTAATTGTATGATGGTTTGGGTATCAAATTCTTAGAAGATTTACTTTTGCATCAAAATTATGACATGTTTGCTCTGCTCTCTTCTGGCTTCTGTTTTTCCTGTTGACCAGTCCAACATCACTCAGAATCCTGACAATCTGTATGCAACTGGTTTCTTTTCTCATTAGTACAGTTTAGGAAATTCCCTCCTTCTTAATATGCTGAAATTTTACAATAAAGTACCTTGGTTCAGTTGTGTAGTGGCTGTACACTAGGCCCTTAACAGTTAGAAATTATCTATTCTTCATCCCCAACATTTTTTTAAAGACAGCAATGCCATTTTATTTTCTTTTGTTTATTATTATTCTTCAATTTGACCAGAGGGAGAGAGAGAGAAAGGGAGAATGAGAAAGCAAGCTAGCAGGTCTAGGCCTCGAATCTCAGTCTAGTACGTGGGAGTCCAGTGCCTAAGCCACCATGCCACTTCTCATCTCTGACATTTTTGAAAAGTTTCTTTCTCAATAATTTCCTCTCCTTAATTTGCTGTATTCTTTCTTCTAGAAATTCCTATTAGTTTAAATATGGAACCTTCTGGATTAATTTCCCAAATTTGTTACCTCTTTAAATTTTCCATGTTTTAATCTTTTTATTTTTTTGAGATTTTATGTATTTCAGTTCTTTCATTGTTTTTATTTTTTACTTCTGCTCTTTTATTTAATTCTTCCAAAATATTTTCTAGCCAACTGTCCCTTTCTCTGTGTTTTCTATTCTCATCTCATGGACACAGAATCAGTCTTCTCTGACATTCTGAGAAGTTTTCTTCTGTTCTCTGCTTTGTTCTTCCTGTTTGTTTTGCTTTCTGCCTTTCATTTTAGAGGCTTTATTCAAATAGCTCACAATCTTGGCAATCTTTTCATATTCACGAGTAAGGCCTCAAAAGTTGACCAGTGAATGGATACCTTTTAATGCCTTGACTATCATTTTAATGTGGCTTCTGAACAAAAGAACAATAAAAACTTGTTTTTAATAGTTCTTGAGTAGCCACTTATATCTAGTTTTATTAACGTAGTTCTAGTGTTAGACATTTCTATATATTTTTTTTCTTCTTCCTCTCTGCTGGGGTGAATATCGTTGCATGTATATATTCTTGTCTAATTACATATTTAATATAAATCCTAAAACATGAACTCGAAAAACATACAAAGTGTAGCTTTTGCTGTATATTGCCTGATTACCAGTGGCAATGTTATTTACAGTTCCATCCAAGATGTTTTGAGAGTCTTATTTTCCGCATCCATACCTTTGCTTTTACCGTCTATATAAACCTTTCCTAAATTTAGGCAAATGTGTTTTAGAACATATTCAGGAAAATGTATCCTAATTCCCATCAGCCATTAAACTACCCTCAGATTATACAAATACATGGATAATCTACATTGAAAATGAAGACAGCACAATAAAAATTCTGAACAATGTGATACTAATGCTCTTTTGAAACACAAGAACAAATAAGAATGGGAAGAAACCACAAAAAGTAAAAATAGAACTAAAATATTTCAAAAGTAATGGAAAATCACAGAATAATCATTGATATTCTGGAAAACAAAATACTTACATCATGCAGGTTATCAAGAAGTTTGGTAAGTTGATAGAAGCGCTGTGAGCTAGAAACCACTCCTTTTTGCCTCAAACCAATTGCCTTGATAAGCTCTCTGATGTAGCTGGATCTCATTTCTTCAAACTGGTTTTGACTTCTTAGTCCTTCCAATGGGACTGTAAGAAGATAATTACATGTGGTGGTTATGTTTGAAAATATGACCCTAACAATTGATCAATTTCTGAATTAGATAAAGATTTCTTTTGCGATATTACTCTACATAGAGACACCCTAAGTAGGAAAGAAGAGTTACTGAGAACATCAGGACCTATCGATGTTTACTTCACTGGAAGACCAAGTAGGTACATTAAACAACATTTCAGCTTACCTTTTAGACCTGTATCAGTGAATTATGAATTTAATTTAGCATTTGCTTGAAAGGATATCTGACATTATTCCACAGTTTTATCTCAAATATTTGGTTTGATATAGTTTATAGCTGCATGTATTCTGAGTTTTTGTTTCTGTGTTTTTTTTAACAGTCATGCATTGCTTAAATATGAGGCGCCCTCTATGAAGTGTGTCCTTTTGTGATTTTGGCATTATGTGATGATAGAGTACATTTACACAAACCTGAATGGTAGAAACTTACTATGCACCTAGGCTACAGAGTATACATAGCAGTTTAGGCATGCCTAAAGACAAGACAGTAACAACAAATTAAATCAAGCACAAAAGAAAATGATGCGATAAACAGTATATATGAGGCTATTGCCACTGCAACACAGCATATTCTTTTACAATAAAGTGGTTTTTGTTCTATTTTGTTTTGTTTTTTAAGAGAGAGGTTTTCTTTTTATTTTTTTTTTGAGAGTTTTTTTTTTTTTTTTTGTTTTGTTTTGTTTTGTTATAGGGCACATGCGCTGGCTGGAAAGACAGAAAAATTGCCCCCCAAGGGGGATGGCCATGCCGCAATCCCTTCTCCTCCATTCTCTTGGGATCTTGGGCATGCACACACACGCCCGGTGTGAGTTTAAGCCACCGGGTCCAAGACTTGAACTGCGGTCAACTACATGGGAGTCCAGTGACATAGCCATTATGCTAATTGTTGGTCCCTACAATAATATTATATTCAAGTAATGTTTTCATTTTCTCCTTTTCAGTAGTTGTAGCTCTCATTTCTGCTTTACAATTCAGTGCCTTATTCAGGAAAAAATATTAAATAATAAGAGTGTTGGTATATATAATTTTCTCCTTTTAGTATTTTCTATAGGGTGCATATGGTTACCAGAGACAGAGGAAGGGAGAAAGAGGGTGGAAGGAAAAAAAAGGAACAGTGGAAGTAAAAAAAAGCACCCTTCAGGAGGATGTCTACACCATAATCCCTTCTCCTCCACTTTCCTCTTTGGGCACAGACACGCACATACCTGGTGTGTCGTTTAAGCCATCAGGTATAGAACTCGAATCACACACTTGGCCATGTGGCACCCAACCACCTTAACTAGCATGCCACCAGCTGGCCCAGGTGGCAGATATCTCTATTTTGTCCCTGACTTATACCGAAAAGCCATTTATTCCCATTATTATATTGTTAAACAGTTACCTAGATATTTACTTCAGATCTTAGGTGCCACTTCCTATACTTATAAGATAGTTCTCATATTTAGACCATATTGTTCACTTAACAAAGCCTTTCCTCTAAATCTTTTTAGCTTCTTCTGTTGTCATTTATCTGCGATACCCTAGTTAATCTGTCCAACAACTCTGTGACAAGAATCTCTAGCTTCTTTCTTTTTATCTCTAGCTGCACTTTGAGCCATAAGCGAAGCATCTACCTTTCTGCAGCTATATCCAGAGTGCGAAAAGAAATTCACACAACCCTGTGGATTGATGCTACTATACCACTTATGACCTTGACCCTTAGCAGTAATTCTACAGAGAAGTACACCAAAAGTCAATTGTATATGCGCAGAAAAAGAAAAAAATACCTAAAACCTTTTGTAAGCTTCCATTTTGTTGCCTGCACCCCAGTCAGAATCAGGCTTCCATTTTTCTTAGAAAAAGAAGGCCACAGATAACAAGCCAAAATAAAACAAAACAAAACAAAACCCCCACAAAGGTTAATTCTTTGGTTTTGTGTATTCAAGGACTCAGATCCTGAATATAAAAAGACTCTGAATGGTAATTTTAGAAACATGCAATTTTCACTTGATTATCAACTTAACTCATGGATGTACATCTGTGTGTATATTACCATAGTACATCTGCAACCTCACTGCTTCCTTCATAGAGTAGTTATTTCAAACGTTAACAACTCTTAAGTTTCCCAACCAATCCTCATGCCTCCTCGTTCTTAAACATGAATATAAAAATTATTTTTCCTTAATTTTTTTCTTGGTAAATCTGTTTACTAAGATTTTAGAGTAGTTTTAGAGTACATAGTCATAAAAGTGTGTGTTTAAATGACTCGCTTTCTCTTTCTGTCTGCAGATCTATATTTTAATTTTTCTTTTTCAAATTTCTTTTCTGTGTACCAGAGGGTCTATGAACATGCATAAAAGAGAGAGAGAGAGCACCCTTGAATGGGTCTGGTCATACCACAATCCCTTTTCCTCCGATTCTCCATCTTATCTGGATCCTGGACATGTATGCACATGCCTGCTCCAAACAGAGTGGTTAAGGGGAGAACAAGGGTGTGGATTCTTTTTTTTTTTTTTTCTGGAGAGGTTTTTTTGCTATAGGGCGCATGCACTCACCAGACAGACAGAGAGACAGAAAGCGAGAAATCACCCCCAGGGGAGATGGCCATGCCGCAATCCCTTCTCCTCCACTTCCTGCCTTTCTTCCTGACCTGTGTCCTCAGCCATTTGTGATTTAGGCCACCTGAAATAAGTCCTTACAGAGATGCTACTGAGAAAGACCCTTGGCCCACCCTCAACCTAAGTAAGCACTTAGCTCCCTGTGTTTCTCTTACAATCACTGAGTCAAAGAAGCATAATTTGTTCCTTTGGAGGCTGAATCTACCACTGCATGGAAAGTATACAAAAAAGAGTGAACACAGATTTCTATTTCTCTCTTTTCCTTCTCTTCCTTCCTGTTCTCCCTATCCAGACTGTTAGTGATCCACTGTTGGTGAAGCAGAGGTGAGTATGTTTTTGTGTATGAAAAAAAGTGAAATGGACATTTGCCTGTCTTTCTGGTGACCAGTGATAGGCTGGCCGGCTGTCTGGCTTTATTTCTTTCTTTCTTCCTTTCTTCCTTCCTTTTTAAAATTTATTTATTTTCTAATGTGCCGTTTCCTCTTTCTTCTGTGGTCTAGGTAAGCTGCATTTCCCAGCCTTTCCTGAAGTTGAGGTGGGCCACGGATTATGCATGGGGGGATGCATACTATTTTCAGGTCTTGCCTCTACACCTTCTCTACTTAATGTTTATTTCTACTTAGGTCCAATGGAAGATACCAAGCCACTGGATGGAAGGAGCCTCAGCTTTTCTTGCTAACCCTGTCAACTGTCCCTGTGAGTGATAAATACACTGCTATGGCCTTTGTAGTGTTTATAGTAATTAGCCTATCCTGATATAATGAGAATAGTTCCAAACAAAATTGTATATTTTATACAGTAAATAATTTTGTTTTGAGTGGGGTAGTGGTGGTAGAGGATGCATAGTTTGTATTTATGTAATTATTAATAAGTTTGTAATACCAATTACATAAATATAAAAATCACTTAATCATATTCTATCTAAAATTTAAAAAAAGGAATTGACTGACCTACTTTAATATTATATAGTAGGTAAAATGTTTTAAAAATCAAATAATTTTACTGCCTATGACAATGCACACTGAGTGTTTCTTCTTTGCAGTTACAATCTAAAATTTATTCCTCATATATAATTATATAATTATATTGTCTGAGATTTTCTAAATGAGTTAAAAAATAGGGAACTAAATATCTTGTGTTAAGTTACTTGTACTCACTCACTTGTATTAAGAAGTAGCAATACTTTCATACAGAGGAACTCTTCTTGGCTAACTTGAAGCTTGACAAACTCCTGTGGGATCTGCCACATGGTAAGGCATAATGAATAGAATGACGATTCTTTCATCCGCTGTCTTACACCACACACAACACACAAAAGAAAAAACAACCGGAAAAAAAAATAAACCAATATAATGTCTCAGTCAGTTTATTTAATTTATCAGGGAGTATGATAACTAAGTAGTATGTTACTTATTGTTGGGTATAACCATATCACTAAAAAATAAACTCAATATTTGGAATTTTAAACATCTAAACTTTTTCATAGTACGGAATTTTTGAGGTTAAGAAATTTTAAGACTGGAAAACATATATGTATATTATATGCCAAGATTAATATTGTTTCTCATTTTTATCATCATACTTGAAATACATAAACCAAGCAAGGAGAACAAAGTTTTGAGAATATGTATCTGAGAGATACTCAAAAATGCTCTATTTACTGATAAATATAAAATAATTATATTTGCAGGAAAAATTTTTAGTCTGACTCAAGGGGTGAGTTAATTCAATTCACAGAAATTTACCACATTGTAAACCTTCTTCAGGGAGAAAGAATGGTGACATAGAAAAGAGTAAAAGAGAACATTAGACAACATTAAATAATTGACAAGTTTGAACATAAATTCTAAAGGCTGACAAAATTTATTCAGGCATTTTCTCAGCCATGTACTATTTTATAATATCCATATTAGTCAAAAAAAGCTAAGAGAATGGGGGAAAAAAACTAAACTTTGACTCAAAGAGCTAAGATTAATCCTGACTGTCGTGTATTTTTGGGCAGGTTATACAATTCTCCTAATCTCATCTTCCTGAACTATAAAGTGAAGAATGCTGATTCCTTATCTATTTCAAGGTAAGGAATTATAGGATAAAATGAAATGAAACATGTGAAAATTATATTTAAATTGTAAAAACTGACAGAAGAGTAATTATTGCCTTATATACTTCCAAGTCAGTGTTCACCATTACTACAGTATAAATATTACCATGAAAAAAATTTTATTTGGCTAAAAGTTATATGTAGAAAATAAATTATATTTATTTAAATATAACAGAGCAAAATGGAATATTTATCTTTCTTTTTAAAAATAAATTACCAGTCTAATATTTATAGAAAGATAACGTTCTTACTTTTGAAGTTAAGTCAATACTTTGAAGCAGAAATATTTCTAATTTACTTAATTATTTTTATTAGTACTAAGGTATAAAGTTTTAATTTGATAACCTAAACGTCTAATTTTGTCTTCAAAATTTACCTGATACATTTTTGAAAGTTAAAAAGAAATGGATTTTGGCAAATAGTATGTTGAAATAAGCAGAAAAAGTTCCAGATGTCAAATGACTGAAAAATGAAACAATTGTATTAATACTGTCATGTTAATTACTAGTATTATCATATTAAACTATATCCTGAGGCAGTTTTGAGAAAATTATATTACTAGGACACTAAACATATGAAATATAATTTTCAAACTTATATTACATATATACTTGTATATATGCATATGCACACACACATACACACACATATGACAACAAAAATTACTACTTACTCATTTAGTATTAGATCAGGTGCAAAATACAGCATCTGCCCACTGACGTGTTTATAGGATCTCCATCCTAGTCCAAACACCATTAAGCTCATCCAAGAGTACTGAATGAGAGTTATCTGGTCATCGATATGTAAATTTCGAAAACCTATAAAACAAATTTAAAAGGAAATAATCACCAAAAAAAATTACTTGTGTCAAAAATGTTGGAGGACATGAAAATTTGAAAGTATTAGGTTGTTTCCTGATAACCTAATAGCTATTAGTAGGGTAATGCAATGTTTGCCATCCTAATATATGTTATACTAAAAATCAGCCTATGTTAATAAATAATACAACCTGGGGAAAAAAAGGCTGCGACAGCAATTTCAGAAATCGTTTTAAGTTAGCAACTAGCATTTGGCATTTGGGGGAATCTGCTCATTGAATCAATCACCTGTCACTCATTCATGTGACATCTGCTTATTGTGAACATTTGTGTGCCAGGCATGTGTTAAAATGCTGAGATCACAGAGGAGAGTAAGACCCGATCCTTGTCCTCAAAAGGAGCTCACAACTCAACAGAATAGACAGGCGCATCGGGGCTACGATAAAGAAGGCTGAAAGGAGTATAGCAGTTATCTGGGAGGTAGGTCAGGAAAAAGTTCCTAAGTGACAAAGAGAGAATGCCTGAGTGGAACAGAATCACTTTGTTGAGGAATCTTAATTCTTTGTGATTTAAACATCAACTGGTATTAGTTTGTAGAACCTCTGCTTTCAGTTATGCTATATCTATTTTTCCTTTAGCAACCCTTTTCCTTGGGTAGATTCCACCACTTTCTGGTCAGTTTTGTCCTTTGAAACAATCCAGGGCTGGCCCCTTAGCCTAGTGGTTAAGGGAGCCTCCCACATGCCACCCAGTGTCTTGAAAGCCATGCCTCGCACATGGGCATGGATGTATGTGTGCTTGCTCCAAATCCTGATAGGATGGAAATCTGGAGGAGAAGGGGATTGTGCTGTGATGATATCCTATCGAGAGAGGTGTTCCTCTCTGTCACTCTAGAACATATAAGCCCTCTGGCAATTACCAACAAACAAACAAAGAAACAACAAGAAAACTTATTCCAGTCTTGTTCTAAATTCCATGAGGTTTAGAAAGAGAAAGTGTGTATGTCTGTGAGACAGGGAGCAAGAATGCTTTAGTCTTTAACACTCTTTAAGGTCATTCTTTGGTGGTATGGCAGAGGGAGGATGGGAGGGGAAGGGTATCTTGATTTCATGACCACAAGTTGTTTTTACCATCTTGCTCCATTCTTCCTGGGAGAAGATCAGCAGCTAGACACTGAAGCACTTTAAAGAGGAAGAGAGAAAGAGGTGTCTGGAGCTGTGGGCTGGGATCACATCACAGAATATCTTTTAGGTCTATTAAGCAATGAGAGTGATGACCTTATTTATGTTATAGAAAAATGGTTATTAGCTATGCAGAGGGTAAAGTCAAGGGAATAAACTCGTAGTTAAGGAGACTATTTGGGAGCTATTGTTAAAGGCCAGGTAAGACATAATAAAACCTGAAATAAGTGAGGAATTGAGTGGAGAACTGTATCAGAGAAATATTTAAAATAGAAAACCAAAGAGATTTTACCACAGACTGTGGTAGGTATAAAGGTAGGAAGGAAAAGGAGTCTGGCCAACAGGTTTTGTGGTTAAGGTGCCAGACTCCCACATGGCCGACCACAGTATAGTCCTAGTCCCCGTGGCTTGAAAATCATGCTGGGTGCATGTGTGCGTACGCCCCAAATCCCAAGAGGAGAATGGAGAAGGGATTACAACACAGCCATCCCTCATGGCGGGTGATTTCTTATTCCCTCTTTCTTTCTTTCTCTGGTGAGTGCATGCACCCTAGGGCAAAAACCTTAAAAAAAAAAAAAAAAAGAGAGAGAAGAAGAAAAAGAAGTCTAATATATACTCCAGTATTTTGGCTTGTATACTAGATGTTGATAACAGCATTGCTGAGATAAAATAAAGAAGGCAAAAATAGGCTAAGATGAAAACAGTACATTTTGGATATGGGGCCAGTAGGTGGCAAAGTGGTTATGGCACTGGACACACACATTGCCAATGACATTTTAAATCCTAGATCTGGCAGCTTGAAAATCAGGCTGGGTGCTTGTGCTTGTGTACCCAAAATCCAGGAGAAGAATGGGGAAGGGATTACAGCATGGTCATCCCCCGGGGAGTGATTTCTCACTTTCCCATTTACTGTTTCTGTTTCTCTCCTGCAAGTGCATGCACCCTATGGCAAAAAGCTTGAAAAAAACTTTTTTGAATATGTTCGAGGAGCCTCAGGAACATCCAGGTAGAGTTGTACATCTGAATTAGAAGTATGAGACTATGTCTGTTCCAGAAAAATACGTTGGGAGCTTATTTGTATCTGAGTGCAGATAAAACAGTTAAGGTGAATGAAATCTTTTATTGAAAGTGTAGAGAAAAGTCATGCATGTTAACACTTGCCTATAGTCCCAGCTACTTGAGAGGCTGAGGCAGGAGGATTGCAATATGGTAAGACTCTAAAAGTATAGAGGAAAAAAAAAATGTTTTGGTGAGAAAATCACCTACTTTTATAAAGCTATTTTTATTTTTAAATTCCTTCCACAAAAGAGAGACAAAGAGACAGCACCTCAACAAAGTCCTCATGCCATGAGTCACCCTATCTCAGCCACCTGGGCAGGTGTGAATGCCTGGCATGCTCAGGAAGGCCCCAGGAGGCAAACTCAGGACCTTTTCCAAGTGGGCCCAGCTGCACTACCACCACCTGGCCCCTCCATAAGGCTGTGTTAAAAACATCTATGTCCCCTATGAATCCACTGAAGTCTACTTCCAAATGAGCTATTTCAAGAGTAAGAGAAAAGAAAAACTTAACTTAGATTTCACGGGCAAAAAATTAATTTACTTCCTGATTTTGTTCATTGTCTCAGGGTAGGCAGTAACAAAGAAGGCTATCTTCTGCACTCCAGATACTTCCATCTTTGTGTGAATGGTAGGAAGGCTCCTATTTTCTTCTTAGAACTTCTTAACCTTGCAAAGATCAAAACCAACTCTAGTGTATATTCCTAATTAGGGATGCCATAAAGGACATTTGCTTTTTTTTTTTTTCCTAAAGAGGGAGAAGCTGTTGAATACCTTACATTCACACCCTCCCTGCAAATAACTACTAAATACCCCGTTGGTTGCAGTTTGTGAAGTACGGTACCTTCCCAACAAGGAAGCTAGCTCAAGCCTCTGCTCTCCTGAGCCCGTGCCCTGGTCTGACCTGTGGAACACACTACCAACTCTTTCAATCTGAAAATAGTGAAGCAAAGGGGTCAGCAGGTGGCATGGTGGTTAAGGCGCTGGACTCCCACATGGTGGACTGTGGTTCGAGTCCCAAACCTGGCGGCATGCTTTCTCACTCTCTCTCTCTCTGGTCAAATTTAAAATAATAAAAACAATGATACATATGATTAAATAAATAATTCTTAAAAAATAGTGAAGTAGGGACCAGCAGTTAGTGTAATGGCTATGTCGCTGGACTCCCACATAGTCAACCACGGTTCGTGTCCTGGACCCAGTGGTTTAAAACTCACGCCAGGCGTGTGTGTGTGCATGCCCAAGATCCCACAAGGAGAACGGAGGAGAAGGGACTGTGGCGTGGCCATCCCCCCTGGGGGGTGATTTCTCGCTTTCTGTCTCTCTGTCTCTGTCTGTCTGTCTGGTGAGCACACGCGCCCTATAGCGAAAAACCTCTCCAAAAAAAAAACATAGTGAAGCAAAGACACAGATGTAGTCATTTATTCTTCATGGAGGTGCTGCCCAGTGATGTGAGGTTCATGGGTGCATTTGTCATCTTTGTTTATTGGCCCTTCAGTAATGTGCTGATTTTTGGTAATATTCCAAAATTGTCTTCTATCTTTTACTGAGTAAATCCCTGATGTCCATCTAGTAAATTCTTTTTTTTTAATAGAGGTTTTTGTTTTAATTTTTTTAAATTAACATAGTCGGTTTTGTTGCTCACATCCAAGACTCCTGAATTACCCAGGTACAGAAAGGTTCTCTATCAACCAAGAAAAACTTGGAATGTAATTGTCATAATTCTTTATTTTCCCATGATGGAAATGCATCTCTGAGCACACAACTATACCTTACTTCTATTTTCAAAAATTATGATCCTTAACATAATAGATCTAGTATGGAATTCTGCTCATGTGTTCCCTTACATTTGAAGGTGTTCTGGAGAGAAGACCCAGGTTCCCCTCCTGGCTCTACCACTTACTGAATGCCACTTTAGACATGTCACTTAATATCACTGAATCTAAATTTCTTTATAAGTAAAATGATGAAGATAACAATTCAGTGCATTGCCGTGAGACTCACATGGGATAATCATGCACATAGCAGAACACTGTACAGACTATTATTAGTCTGTCAGTGGATGCTGTGAGAGAATTGCCCATGGGGTAAATGCTGTACGAAAACCACAAATCAGTCTGATAGGAAATCTGTCATTTTAAGACAAAACAAGGCCTACCTACCGTGGTGGTCAGATAGCATCACTGCTTGGGAGGTTGGAAATCACAGGAGAAACTGGTGTTTGGTTCCTGGGCCACCTAAATACATCTTGGCATGGTTCTGTGTGCCTGTAACCCTAGCTAATGGGGAAGCTGGAGCAAGATGATCGTGACATAGACCCTATCAAAAATCTCTCTTTCTGTTCCTCAATCTCTCTCATAAAGGCAAATAAATGCATAATATAAATAAAATTAAGTTGAAAATGTATGTCTGGAGGCATTTAATATATTACAGAACCTACATGATACAAAGAAAGTGTCAGTGCTTTTTATTGGCAATAAAATGAAAAAGGATAAATTGTGCTCTATCACAAAATATAATATTTTATATATATGTGTGTGTGTGTATGTGTATGTATGTGTGTATATATATATATATATATATATATATATATATCTCAAATCGTATGAATTGTATTTAGCTAAATGGCCAGCTCATAGAAAGTTAGAAAGTTAGGTTCAATTAATTACATGTATTATTACAATTATTACATTAACAGGTGTTTTTAGTATAACCTCCAGAATATATTTATTATTCTCTATTGCTTTATTAGGTGATTTTATA